TATAGTTCACCAGGCTCCTCTGTCCATGGGATTCTCCAGGGAAGAATACTGGAGTGGGTTGCCAGTTCCTTCTCCAGCAATGTGGCAGACCCCGTTTCAATTCCTGGGTCGGGATGATCCCCTGGAGAAGGAACTGGCAGCACACTCCAGTACTCTTGCCTGGAGAATCCCATGGACAGAGGAACTTGTGGGCTACAGTCCACGGGGTCACAAAGAGCTGGACATGACCGAGAACTGCTTTTTTGTCACCTTCTGTTAGATCATGAGTTTTAAACCTTGAGTGAAAAAAGTTCTCAAGTGAAAAATTCCTGCCTTCCTTCCTCCTTCCATTCCCACCTGGTTCTTTCTATATTTCTGGCTGTGCTAGATCTTCTCTGCAGTGCACAGGCTTCTGTAGTTGTGGCACTCAAGCTTTGTTGCCCCGAGGACGTGGGATCTTAGTTCCTCGACCAGGGATCGAATCCTCATCCCCTGTGTTGGAAGACAGATTCTTTACCCCTGGACCACCAGGGAAGTCTCTGGTCCCCTCTGTTATTAACTAAAATGATTTATGAGTAACATCCTAGTTGCCAGAGACTCTGCCAGTCTCTGTAAGAGACAGATATGAGTAAGACATGATATTCGACATGTGCATTTAAAAATAAGTCATCAGTCAAGAATGATATGCTGAAGCCTGGCAGCTGACTCCGTGTGCTCACGTGGTGCCGACAGCAGCCTCAGAGCAGAGCCAGAGAAAGTGTGGAGCTTGGGCTTGTTGCATCTCACAAAGGGGGTAAGATTACCTGTCAGATGATCTGGAATTGCTCTAGCACGCCCAGAACCAAAGTGTAGGAATAATTTGAAGAGCAAACTTTTGAGAAGCCTTGAATTCAGATGCACTGAATGTCCGAGAGCACTCTGCTAACCTTGAGGTTTAGGGACCATTTTAATGATTTAAAAAGAAAAAACAAAAATTCGAACATCAGTGAACCCCATGAGGTCTCTAATCCTTTCCAGTGGCACTGTTAATATTCTCAAATTGATGTCCTCCAGGCCCTCAAAGCCACACCCACCTCCCCACCCCACTATCAACCCCCTATATAATCTGTTACCCCATCATCATGATGGTACCCTGTGCATGCATACTAAGTCGCTTCAGTTGTGTCTGACTCTGCGACCCTATGGACCATAGCCCGCCAGGCTCCTGTGTCCATGGGATTCTCTTGGCAAGAATGTTGGGTTGCCATGCCCACCTCTAGGGGACCTTCCCCATACAGGGATCAAACCCTCATCTCTTAGGTCTCCTGCATTGGCAGGGGGGCTCTTTACCACTAGCTCTCCCTGGGAAGCCCCTAGCTTCTTCTTTGCCTGGAGCGTTGCTAGTTTCCCAACTGGCCTCCTTTCCCTTGCTGTTAACCCATGGGAAGTCATTCTTTATGCACTAGGCACAGTGATCTTTCTAGAGCAGAGGTGGGTAAACTTTTTCTCTAAGAGTCAGATACCAGATATTTCAGACTTAACAGGTCCATTCGATCTTCATCGCAACTGGTCAACTTGGCTGTTTTCATGGGAAAGCAGCCATAAACAACAAGAAATGAGAGCATGGCTGTGTTCCAAGACTTTTGTTTCCAAAAACGTCACAGATTTGGCCCATGCGCTGTTGTTTGCTGACTCTGCTTTTAATCACAGATCTACCCTCCCTCACCCTCCTGCTTACATTTTGTTCACTTCTGATCCCCCAAAGGAAAACTCAGCTTGTTGGTATGACATGCAAGTTTCCTCATGGTCCTCTGCTTGCTTCTCCAAGCTCACCTCTTCCACATCCCCTCACCCTACCCACTATCCCAGCCGTTCCACTTTTTATCTTGCAATTCTGAGCCCCACTCGGCTCTCAGAACCCCATGTGTTATTTCACACCTGTCTGGAACGGTCTCCCTTCCCCACCATCAACCTGTCAAACTCCCTCTTCCCTTCAAAACCTGCCTGGATGTCAGCTGTCAAAGTCTTTGCCCGTTCCTCATCTCCAACTGTAATCACTGTCTTTTCAGTTCTAATTTCTGTGTTTGCTTCTCTAAATACACTGTGAACTCCTTGAAAACAGAACCCACGTCAAGATTCATCCTTGAAACCCAGTGTCTAATACAATGCCTGCCAGGTAACAGATGCTTGGTAAATAGATATTACTAAACTGAAGTGTCAGTTAAGTAGATTCCTTTTTAGAAAGTTTAATTGAAATATAATCCACATGCTATAAATTTTACCCTTTTAAAGTGGTCAAGTCAATGGAGTTTGGCATATTCACAGATACATGCAACCATCACAAAGAGAAAACTGTATGTATTAGCCATCTCTTCTTCCTCCCATCCCCTTACACCCACCCCTGAATAGCCACTAATCTACTTTCTCTCTATTACCAATTCTGGATATTTCATATAAAGGATTCATATAATATATGGTATTGTCTAGCTTCTTTTAGTTCATATGATGTTTTGAAGCTTCATCCATGTAATGGCATGTAGCCATACTTCTTTCCTTTTTCTGACCCAATAACATTCCACTGTGAGGATACACCCCCATTTTGTTTATCCATTCACTGTTGATGGACATTTGCATAGTTTCCACCTTTTGGTAATAATGAATAGCACTGTTTTAAATATTTGTGTGCAAATGTCTGTGTTAACATCTGTTTTCAATTCTCTTGGGTATATAAGTAGGAGTGGAATTGCTGGGTCATATGGTAATACTTTGTTAAACTTTCTAAGGAATTGTCAATCTATTTCCCGCAGTGGCTGCACCATTTTATATCCATACAGCAGTGAGGCTGCTGGTTTCTCCACATCTTCACCAACACCTACTTTTCTCCACTTAAAAAAAATTATAGCCGTCCTAGTGGGTGTGAAGTGGTACTACATTGAGGTTTTTGTTTGCATTTCCTTAATGACTAATGATATTGAGCATCTTTCCATGTGCTTGTTGGTTATTTGTATGTCTCTTCAGGGAAATGCCTAGTGAAGTCCTGGGTCCATTTTTAAGTCAGATTGCTTGTCTTTTTGTTATTGAATTTTAAGAGTTTCTATATATCCTGGATACTAGATCTTTCTCAGATACATGATTTACAAACATTTTCTTATTCGTGGATTGTCTTTTCACTTTGTTGATATTTCTTTTTCTCAATTCACATCACATTTACTCAGTATTTATTCTGTGCTGGACATGGAGGACCTGGGGATGTATCTACCCTCCAAGGGGTTCACAGTCTTAGGAGGGAAACAGATATGTAAACAGTACAATAAATAATCGATTAGTACACCCTTTTTTCTGGCCTTCCCAGGTGTCACTAGTGGTAAAGAACCTGCCTGCCAATACAGGGGACATAAAAGATGCGGGTTTGATCCCTGGGTCGGGAAGATCCCCTGGAGGAGGGCACAGCAAACCAATACAGTATTCTTATCTGGAGAATCCCATGGGCAGAGGAGACTAGAGGGCTATGGTCCATAGGGTTGCAAAGAAATGTGACTCAGCACACACGCACACCCTTTTTTCTACCCCCACTGCTGCTGCTCTGGTTCATGAAGCATCACAATAGTGTCTTTTTAAAAAAATATTCATGTATTTATTTACGGCTGCGCTGGGTCTTTGTTGTGGCATACAGACCCCTCTGTGCTGCGTGTGGGTTTTTCCAGTTGCGCCGAGTGTGGCTCCTCTCTAGTTGTAGTGCACAGGCTTCTCATCGCAGCGGCTTCTCCGGGTGCAGAGCAGAGGGTGCGTGAGCTTCGGTAGTTGTGGCGCAGGGGCTTAGTTGCCCCACCGCCTATGGGATCTCAGTCCCCGGACCAGGGATTGGCAGGTAAATTCTTAACTGGACCACCAGGAAAGTCCCCTTGATAGTGCCTTTTGATGCACCAACATTAGTAACTGATCAGTTCTAAAAGTACAGCCTCGTGCAGTAAGAGCAAGAACTTTGTAGCTCTGTGTAAGCACTCTGGGGATGTCAGTTTCTTGACACAGTGCCAGCTGGCGCCGTGAGCTGAGCCTGGCCGGTTTTGGTGAGGTGGCAGTTGGTACCTGCTGCTATTACTCACTGGACTTCTGGAAGGGAGCCAGTGTTTCTATGGACAGGAGGATCCCAGATTATGGGCTCTTAGCAAACTGAGGACAGCACTCCTGCGCCCTCCCCTGAGCCACCAGACATTTCTAGACAGGACAAAGATGTGGCCCTGCCTCTATGCCAGCTGCTTCTCTGTCCATGGGCTTCTCCAGGCAAGAATACTGGAGTGGGTGGCCTTGTCCTCCTCCAGGGGATCTTCCCCACCCAGGGATCGAACCTGTATCTCTTATGTCTCCTGCATTGGCAGGTGGGTTCTTTACCACTAGCGCCATCTGGGAAGCCCCCGAAGGCATGGGCTAAATAGAGAAGGCTTGGGGAGTATGTCACTTAAGACCTGAACTCCTTGGCTGGTTTTAAAAAATTATTTATTTTTGACTGCACTGAGGCTTTGCTGCCGTGTGAGGACCTTCTCTAGCTGTGGCCAGTGGGGGCTGCTCTCGTTCTGGTGTGCGGGCTGCTCTCGTTCTGGTGTGCGGGCTGCTCTCGTTCTGGTGTGCGGGCTTCTCCTCGCGGCGGCTTCTCTCGTTGCGGAGCTCGGCTCTAGGGCACTAGGGTCCAGTAGCTGTGTCTCATGGCCTTGCTAGCTTGCAGCATGAGGAATCTTCCCGGAGCAGGGGTCGAACTCGAATGCCCTGCATGAGCAGGTAGATTCTTCACCACTGGGCCACCAGACAAGTCCCTACTTAGCCATTTTGGGAGTCCATCTCTTAGAAAAACTAATTTGAGGACTTCCCTGGTGGTCCAGTGGTTAGAACTCTGTGCTTCCACTGCTGGGGTCCTGGGTTCCATCCTTGGTTGGGGATCGAAGATCCCACAAGCTGTTCAGTGTGGCCCCCCCCCCCCAAAAAGAAAGATTTAAAGGAAAGCTGGTTTGTACACTCCCTCCAAGCCCGGACTCCCCCTACTCACCTACCCCTCCACCCCAGTGAGCCCCTCTTCCTCCCAGCTGTCCGAGCCCCTCTCTACCATAGTGTCTGTGTCCAGACCAGTTCTTCAGAGATTTGCATGCAGCCGCCCCATCCCCCACTACGCTTCCTCCCCTGGAAACAAGACTTATTTGCAGTGATTGGATCACTTGCCAGATTTGCACCCTATCCTGGCCTGACATCTGTTCTCCTGTCTTCCCTACCTTTTATGGATCTTAATACCTCCTTCAAAGTGGCACGGAAATCCAGACCACTTTGGCTACTTGACTGTTAGCTCTGAGAAAGGGTGTCTGAGAGTGTGTCTGTGTTGGAAGTCGGGAGGAGGTGGGAAAATGGTTAAAACCTGTTACCCAAGTGCTGTGTTAAGAGTGTTCAGAGGGTGGGAATTCCCTGGTCTGGGTTCGATCCCTAGTTGGGGAACTAAGAGCCTGCAAGCCCAAGCCTCATGGTGTGACCAAAATAAGAAATAGAAAAAAAGAGTGGTTGATGGGTGAAGTGACATCCCTCCTAGAATTTTTCCAGGTTGTCGCTGATTTTGTAACTATAATAGTCACCGCTCATTTAGCACTGGCTCTGAGCCTATCACTGACTGTCCTGGGCACTTGGTACTTCTTATGGGACCCACTAACACCCTGAGACCCTTCTGTATTTGCAGAAGCCAGATGTGAGTCTGGGATCACTCTCAGGTGCCAGCACCTTCTTTGCATTGCTGCGTTACACGGTGGGCTTCCCAGGTGGTGCTAGTGGTAAAGAACCCACTTACCAATGTAGGAAACACCAGAGATGTGGGTTTGATCCCTGGGTTGGGAAGATCCCCTGGAGTAAGAACTGGCAACCCACTCCAGTATTCTTGCCTGAAGAATCCCATGGACAGGTGAGCCAGGCAGGCTATAGTCCACGGGGTCACAAAGAGTCAGACATGACTGAACACACATGCCAAAAAACATATATGTATTATCCTGTAGTCAAATGGCAACCCACTCCAGTATTCTTGCCTAGAGAATCCTGTGGACAGAGGCGGCTGGCGGCTGCTGTCCATAGGGTCGCACAGAGTCGGACACGACTGAAGCGACGTAGCAGCAGTAGCAGCAGAACCATATCTCCGTATTTTTAGGGGCTGATGAGGGTGGCTAACTTGAACTTGATGGTCATCCCTGCCTCACCCCGCTTCCTCTCCAAGCAGCAGCGCTGATTTTGGATCTCCTCTGCCCCTTCGTAGGGGGAGGGAAACAGTGGAAACAGGGACAGACTTTATTTTCTTGGGCTCAAAAATCCCTGCAGATGGTGACTGCAGCCATGAAATTAAAAGACGCTTGCGCCTCCTAAGTAAAGCTATGACAAACCTAGACAGCATATTGAAAAGCAGAGACATTACTTTGCCAACAAAGTTCCATATAGTCAAAGCTATGGTTTTTCCAGTAGTCATGTGTGGATGTGAGAGCTGGACCATAAAGAAGGCTGCGTGCCGAAGAATTGATGCTTTTGAACTGTGGTGTTGGAGAAGACCCTTGAGAGTCCCTTGGACTGCAAGGAGATCAAACCAGTCAATATTAAAGGAAATAAGTTCTGAATATTCTTTGGAAGGACCGATACTGAAGCTGAAGCCCTGATACTTTGGTCACCTGATGTGAAGAACCAACTCTTTAGAAAAGACATTGATGATGGGACAGATTGAAGGCAGGAAGAGAAGGGGATGACAGAGGACAAGTGTTTGAATGGCATCACCAACTCAATGGACAAGTTTAAGCAAACTCCAGGAGATGGTAAAAGACAAGGAAGCCTGGCGTGCTGCAGTCCATGGGGTCTCAGAGTCGGACACGATTGAGCAACTGAACAACAGCCACTGCCCCTTCTTTATGGGCTACAGTCTGTAGAGATAAGGTGTGTCTCTTAGGGCTTCCCTGCTGGTCCAGTGGTTAAGGATCTGCCTGCCAATGCAGGGGACATGGGTTCGATCCCTCGTCCAGGAAGATCCCACATACCTCAGGGCACCTAAGCCTATATGCCAGAACTACCGAACCAGTACTCTGGAGCCTGTGCTCTGCAACGAGAGAAGCCACTGCAAGGAAAAGCCCACTGGCTGCAACTAAAGAAAGCCAGCCACGAAGACCCAGCACAGCCAAAAAATAAATTAATTAATTAAAAGATGTGTCTCTTCAGACACTGTATATTTGGCTTTCCTTTTCTGATTCCATCTGACAGTCTCCAGTGGTTCATTTTAAAGTGTTTGAAATTGTACCTTCATCCCCCCCAGGAAACAGCCTGGTCAGAATGAGATTCCACCCAGGACCGGAGATGGACTGTGGGGCACCCCAATCGGTCACAACAAATTGTGCCGGACAAAGGCCTCTTTCTGAAAGCGGACAGAAGTTCAGCTCTGGATGCCTACCTTCTGGCCATTTCACTGGGCCCTGAACATTCCCACCCTGTGGCCAGAAATAGACAGGACGGAGGTGGACTCTTTGGCCAGGGGCCAGATGGACCAGCCCTGGCCAAGCCTGGTGTCAGAGTCTGCATTCTTGTCTGAGGTGGTTCAGAAGGGCCCCCTTGTCCCCGCCCGCTTCCCTCATTCTCTGATCGCCCTCTGTCCACCCAAGTCAGCCCTCCTCCACAGAGGAATGTGTTCCGTGCGGGGCCAGGAGCGGCAGGCGACCACAGCTGGGGTAGCCTCTCCAGTGCGCCGGGGCCATGAAAGAGGACCATTCATCACTTCTGCTGCTAGATCAGGGATCCGGGTGGCAGGGGAGTCTGATGGAGGAGACGGCCCTCACCCCACCTCTGACCCCAGATCTGAGTGCCGACATCTGGCAGAGACATCAAGCAGAGAATTATGTCTGGGTGAAAAAAACCAGCTGAGCTCCTTGCTCTATTGTTCAGAGACACTAAGCAAGCGGCCTTTGCATCAAGGGCCACTGCTCCCGGCTGGGGAGCCCCATGCTTGCTGATGCAGTGCTTCCCAGTGGGGACAGCGGGCCCTTTACTGGGGGCCCCGGAACACAGATGCAGAGCAAGTTTTGGGAGCAAGGAGTCATTTACCTACCATGGCCCTCAGGGAGGGTGAGGCCAATCACGCAAAACTGGGACCCAAGGCGGGACTGCTGTAGAAGGTTCTGGCCCCAGATGGCCATGTTGGTAGGGAGAAGGAGTTAAGAAGATCAGTTTGTTAAGGACACTCGTTTTTTTTGCTAAGTGCACTATCCACAAATAGTGTATAATGATGCTTTCCTGTTTGGCCACACTGGGCAGTGTGGGATCTTAGTTCCCTGACCAGGGATGGAACCCATGGCCCCTGCAGGGGAACCTCGGAGTCTTAGCCACTGGACAGTCAGGGAAATCCCACAAGTAGTGTAGAATTTTTAGAGTGTGTTTCCCGTCCTTATCTATGCCCGTCTTTGTTTCGTTGCTTAGTCACTAAATCTGCAACCCCTTGGACTGTAGTCCACCAGGCTCCTCTGTCCATGGGACTCTCTAGTCAAGAATACTGGAGTGGGTTGCCATTTCCTACTCCAGGGAATCTTGCTAACCCAGGGATCAAACTCACATCTCCTTCATTGGCAGGTGGATTCTTGGTTATATTGGGTATATTGCGTATCTTTTGACACTCAGGTGTCAGTGGTAAGAAGCTGAGGTCTGTTGTATTATTTAAGACTGCATTGGGGAAGTTCAAAGCCACTCAGCTTTTCAGACAATACTGTTGCTGCAGCAAGTTCTACGATACAGAATGCCGTTTCTCAGGTAGATGATGATGTCGTCATTCAGACAGGTTTGCTTTTAGGAGAAGAGAAACAAATATTTGAGTAATCCCAAGGAAATCTTGAGACTCAGAGCTTTGTTTTTTGTTTTGTTTTGTTTGTTTGTTTTTGGAGGATGCCTTTGATGTTTCTTCCTAAGTGGAAAAATTCAGCTATCAAAAGAACAGCCTAAGAAAAGCACCCTGGAAATTCCAGTTTTACATCTTCTTTTCCTCTTGAAGCCCCTTTGGGTCCAAATTAAGTAAAGGATTTTCAAATAGTCATCCATTATCAGTACAGTGCCATGCCTGGAATCATAGAAATCAGTGTTTCTAGACTCGTGGTTGCCAACAGAGGGGCATATGGAAGAGTGACGGAGTGGGAATTTGAGGTCAGCTGATACAAATGATCACATGTAGAATGGATAAACAGGACAGGCCTACTGTACAGCACAGGGAACTATGCTCAGTATCTGGGACAAACCATAATGGAAAAGAATATTTAAAAGAATGTGTGTATAACTGAGTCACTTTTCTGCACAGCAGAAGTTAACACAACATTGTAAATTCACTAAGCTTCAATAAACTATAAAAATCAGCGTTTCTAGAATATACTGGAAAGTTCCAGGGGTGGTATATGTTTTGGAACTCCAACAAATGATGTGAATCAATTAAAGGAGCACTGCTCACAATGAACTGATAAATCTCAGCAAGATTCAGGCTTAGAACTTTTTTCTCTCGCTCTGACCACGCCTGAGCCCTAACTCCCAGCAAGACCAGGAAGCATTGGTTGACTTCAGACCTGTTTGACAGTCTTATTTTTAGGCATTGAAGACTCCTTGGAGCCCGCCCTTCCCATGGAATTAGGAACAAGGTAGCACTTACATAGTTGACACAGCACATGTGAACAAACCTTTTGTTTTGATACCTAAGCTTTTCTGTAATACTGTGTATTCTTTGGAAAAATGTCTGTCTCTAGTTTTCAAGTAAGTTCTTGGAAGAGCTGAATCCAGGAGGAACTACCGAAGCTCATCTTTGAGAGTTCTCAAATATTAATAAAACTTGGGGAAATCTGAAGCACAAAATTAAATACAACCACCTACATTATACAGTTTGGTGGTGGTGGTTTAGTCCCCACGTCGTGTCTGACTTTTTGTGACTGCATGAATTGTAGCTGGCCGGGCTCCTCTGTCCATGGGATTTCCCAGGCAAGAATACTGGAGTGGGTTGCCATGTCCTTCTCCAGGGGATCTTCCCAACCCAGGGATCAAACCCAGGTCTCCTGCATTGCAAGTGGTCTCCCGCATTGCAGGCAGTCTCTTGCATTGCAGGTTAATTCTTTACCGACTGAGTCATCAGGGAAAGCCATTTAGCATCAACCAAAACGGTAGTTGGCGCTTAAACAACTTGAGTCAACTCTAGCAGGAAGGGATCTTCCCTGGTGGTCCAGTGGTTAAGAATCCACCTTGCAATGCAGGGGACCTGAGATCCAGGTTCAATCCCTGTTTGGGATACTAAGATCCCACTTGCCTTGGAGCAACTAAACCCACACATTCTGGAGCCTGTGCACCACAACTAGGGAGTCCGTGCGCCACAACAAAGATCACTGATGATGCAACGAAGACCTGATGCAGCCAAATAAATGTAAAAAAAAAAGGAAAGAAAGAAAAGAAACGGTTAAAAAAATCTATCAGGCAACACCTGTTTGAACTCAAATATTTTACCTGATTTTGGGGGACCACCTACCATGGGTCAGGAACTTAAGAAACATGATCTTTGTCTTTTGTGAGAGTCCTGAAATCATGATGTTGCTTGTTTTTTCCTTCAGAAAGTTGCTTTTAAGTACATATTGTTCCTGTGGCTTCCCAGGAGGCATAGTGGTAAAGAATCCACTTGCCAATACAAGTGATGTAAGAGATGTGGGTTCCATCCCTAGTTTAAGAAGATCCCCTGCAGTAGGAAATGGCAGCTCACTCCAGTATTCTTGCCTGGAGAATCCCATGGACAGAAAAGCCTGGTGGGCCACCGTCCATGGGGTTGCATAGAGTCGGACAGGACTGAGTGACTCAGCACACACATGCATATCATTTCCATTTTATAGATGAAATTCTGAGACTTGGAAAATCTGAGTGTGCCTGAGGTCTCAGAGCTAACATGATAGAAGTGGGATTTGAACCCAGCTCTGTGTGACTCTAAACCACTGGGCTGTGATGCTTAGTGGCGATAGGGAAGTGGTGTTCTGTGCAGCCCATTCCCCACAGAGGATGAATGTGCAGGCTGCCTGAAGGCTGCATGTAGGGGGTACTCTAGGCTCTTGGGGAAGGTGAGCTGATTCTGGCTGGTGTTTATCAGGAATGTCTGGGATTTAAGTTCTGGGTCTGTCAAGGAATTCTTTCCCCACCTCTCCCAGACACCCCCTGGGGGCTATAGGGCTTCTTGTCTGCAATGCTTAAAGTACCAACTATGTGAACTTGTATCCTTAAATGGATTGAATTGAATGGAAGAATGTCCTCAACTGCTTAGCCAACAACCCAGGGAGTGATAACTTACTACTTTCTGATAAGGCATGGTCACAGTTGATTTCTGGCTGACTGTTATTCATGTTAGTCACATACTGAGGTCCTTGGGCACCTTGCCTTTGTTTAAATTTTTAATTTATTTTTATTTTCGGTTGTCCTGTGTCTTCGTTGCCTCTCGAAGGCGTGTCTAATTGTGGTGAGTGGGCTCCCTGTGGTGCTCAGGCTCCTCTTGTTGCAGAGCACAGGCTCAGTAGTTGTGGCTCGTGGGCTCCGGAGCGCTGGCTCAGCAGTTGTGGTGCTGGGGCTTAGTTGCCTTTCGGCATGTGAAATTTTCCAGGACTGTGTCCCCTGCATTGGCAGGTGGATTCTTATCCACTGGACCACCAGGGAATCCCGGGCATCTTGCCCTGACCCCCTGACGATGACCTTCTCCTGAGCCAAACTGTGTGAAGAATTAAGTCCGTCTGCTGCAGTAGTTCCTGGACTTCACTCAGATGAGGTTTTCAGAGAAGACTCTGCAAAATGGATCTTCCTTTTGTGAAATTTTCCTCTGCATACCTGGAGAGGGTTGGTGAAACCTGGGCCTTGTTTGGTACGTGTGAACCAGCTACAGGAATGTTCCGCTGACCCAGTTGGCTTGCATTCAGGGTAAAGGATGTTCCTAGAGTTTCTGTGATGGATGGTGATGCAACCTCACTGGCATAGACTCTTGGGCGGTTGATGACCTTGGAGGTCTTCATAGGTGAAGCTGAGAATAGACCTTTCTATTGTCTAAAAGCTCTCTGAACTGTGGTATAAGATATGTCTCCACGCAGCTTTTTGATTTCTTTAGTGAAATAAAAATTTCTGACTGAGGACTGATAGAACAGGTGTGAAGAGAAGTGTGACTTCCATCAGTCCAAATGTCTGCAAATGTCCAAAAGGACCAGAACCTCCCCCCGAAAAGGTCAAGCACATTTGCCTCTCAACAACATCTCAGACACTGTCCTGCTAAAAGATGGAGCCTCTTGAATTGCTCTGAAAGCCTTCCTTCTGCCCTGCTGTGGTCAGTGTCTATTTGGAAATGGTCTCAGGGGACCATGAAGCAAGCTGGGGCTGCTTGGTACCTTTGCAGGAGGAGGAGATACCCAGACCCTGTAGGCTGTGAGCACAGCTGTGGGTGTTGTTGGAGGGGAGCAGAGAGGGCAGAAGTCACCAGATCAGGCTTCTCAGAGGAAGTGGGACTTGAGGAATCCCTGCTCCCTGAGGGTAGGCTCGTTCGCCCCTCCGAGCAGCAGCAGCGCTCACTGCCTCCTGCCTTCACGGGCCCTTAGGGCCTCAGTGTCCAGCACAGGTTTAGGGGCTCATCCTTTTGGGGGCAAACCGGTGTGTGTCTCAAGATGGTTCATTTTCTGGAAATCATCTGTGTTGGGCTGGGGTGAGATCATGCCTCACTCTGCCTCTTCTATCCAACCTTGTAACCCATGACTCTTGTCTAGACACAAGCCTTGACTATATGCTGGGGTAAGATGTTATGAGCCCAGGGGATCTTCACTTCCCATAGATGATCCCAGTGTCTGTTTATCCCCTTTCCCACACAAAATAAATTTCAGAGGCACCCGCGTCAGCAGATTTGAAGGGCATGGGGAAGGTCCACCTACTCATGAATAACCCTATTGCCTTTATTTCCAACATTACACAATATGTAAAATTTAGCTATTAAAATTCATAGGGACTTCCCCAGCAGTCCAGTGGTTAAGTGGTTCCAGTGTTGTGGGTGTAGGTTCAATCCCTGGTCAGGGAACTAAAATCCATATGCCACATACTGGGGCCAAAAATCAAACAAACAACGCCCCGCCCCCCAGAAAAACCCAAAAAACAGAGAGAGAGAAAACCCATAAAATTCATATTTAGGAGTTCCTTATTAAAACATAAAAGATCCCTCTTCATAGAAAAATCACTAATTCATTCCTTAATGTATTAAATGTCTTAATTCAATAAATTCATAAGGAATGGACTTATCAATTTGCTTTCCTATGCAGTTAGGTCAGAAGGAAAAGGCAGTTTTGATAAGGCATGATGATTTAAATAGAAATTTATATTTATTCATTCAATTACTTTTGAGTGCCTACTGAGTACAAGGCTCAGGGTTCAGAGGTGGCAGGCAGGAAGGAAGAAACTGCATGTAAATGAAGCTACGCTCTGTGCTAGTCATTTCCACTTGTTATCTCGTTTAATCATCACACACACACCTGAAAGGAAGGCTGTTTCCGTGATCAAAAGATGAAATCAAGACTCCAAAAGTACCCCTAAATCTATAGAGCCTGGAAGTGGTAAAGTCAGGATTCAGACCCTTATGTTCTGATTCCAAGATGCCCAACATCCTCTTTGCAGGGAACCAATGGTGCCAACAAATACTAGTAGGAAGGGTTGCCGAGAGGTAAGAGGACCCTTACAATGGAAGATGAGGGAGTCAAGGGCCCCCTCCATTCACTTCACTTTAAAAAAAATATTTATTTATTCAGCTGCTGTTGGGTCTTAGCAGCAGTTCAGGGAATCTTTGCTGGGGCGCCTAGCCTTCTGTCTCATTGTGGGCCAGGGGCTCAGCAGTAGAGGTGGGTGGGCTTAGCTGCCGCCATGGCATGTAGGATATTAGTTCCCAGACCAGGGATGGAACCCACTCTCCTCCCATGAGTTGGAAGGTGGATTCCTAACCACTGGACTACGAAGGACATCTCCACTTCACATTCAATAGCCCTTTAACCTATGATCAAGAATTAGACCTGATTTTAAAAGCATTATGAGAATGGGTCTACTTTGAGATATCCGTATGCTGTTATTGTCCAGTTGATTTTTAATAAGCACCCAACAGATGCCAGGCACCATGGTGAGCCCCTACCCATCACCAACAGCACTCCCTCCGCATGAGGGATTTGAGCAGAGAGGGGGACATCCATGCGCAGGGCTCCTGGCACAGCCCGGCCAACCTCACAATGACCGGTCCTGGTTCGCCGGCGGAGGCCGCGGAGCCCCCGGCACTGCTGCAGCAGGGCCGGAAGCTAAGGCCACAGAGTCAGCCTGCGGTCCCCGCTCGGGACCCTGGTCACCCAAAACGCCCCCATGGGCTCACGTGTGCTGGTCACCCTGGACCACGTGCTGTCACCTCCTGGACTTGAGGACTCCCCGGCCCCAGGGGCCCCAGGCGCTAGGAGAGGAGGGGGCCCAGGGCGCAGAGCGCGGCGGCTGGAGAACGAAGGGCTACCAGGCCGGGCCACTTGTCTGCTCCGAGGCTCCGGTTCCTGTCCCGCACCTGGGGACGCCCGGTGGGACCCGGTTCTAAACTGGGTCACTGGGCTGCCAACAGCCTTGTCACTGGATTCACACTGCAGCCGGGACCAGAAGCAGGGGGGGCCACCCTGAACAGATTCCCTTAAAGGTCACCCTCGCCCCTGGTAGCTGGGGACTCCCCCAAGAAGGGGCTGAACCCCAGTTCAAGTGCAGAACGGAAAGTGGCACCTCGGAGCAGCAGGTAAGGCCTCTGGTCTGCAGGGGGTGGTAGAATGGAGCCCAGCACAGGGCAGAGGGAGGGGGGTAGCCCTGGGGCATTTTGCTCTCCATCCTCCCAAGCTCTTCTTTGAACTTTGGCTGATTTTTCCTCCTGTGGGTTGGATGGATGCCAACGTGAAAAATGAATTTTGCAAAGCAGTAAGGGAAAGACATACAACAGAAAAGGGGATTTAAAAAAGACATGTAGAGATAATTTCCAGGGGAAAAAAAGAAATACAAGTGGTCAACAGAACCTGAAGAAAAAAAGGTCAGGCTCACTAGTACAAGAAATGCTGGTTAAAAGAGAATACCTTTTTCCTCCCTGCTTATCAGATGGAGAAAGTTTTGAAAGCATGGTCATAGCTAGAATTTTGAGAGTGTGGGGAAACGTACATACTGCAGGCTGAGTGTACCCTAGCAGGCTTTCTGGAGGCAGTTAATATTGTTTTGTAGAGGAGTTCCCTTTTTACCAGCACTTTGACCCAGCAATTTTGCTTTTAGGAATTTATCCCAAGATTGTGGGACGGTTTAGCTGCAAGGATATTGATTTCAATGATGTGGATAGCAGTAAAAATTAACTGGGAAGATTATGCAATCTTATGGCACATCCATAATACTGAATGTAAAAGGCATAGTAAATCTTGTAAAAGTCAGTGAGGCATACTGTTTGCAGTAGACTGGTAAATGTGAAAAGCAGTTTACAAAGCAGTATGTAGAAAATTCTTCCAAGTTTTAAAGGGAAATATATATCTGCAGATGGAGAAGGAAATGGCGACCCACTCCAGTATTCTTGCCTGGGAAATCCCATGGACAGAGGAGCCTGGGGGCTACAGTCCACGGAGTTGCAAAGAGTCAGACACAACTCAGCAACTGAGCACACACAGCACATAGACGTACAGAAAAAAGGCTGGAAGGGGTGGACACAACCGTGTTGACAATCATTCTCTCCAGTGGGGTATTATTGCAAATTCTTTTCCACTTTTTACTTGTTTGCCTTCTCCAGATTTTTATTACCAGCTTGTATAACTTTCGCAATAAGGAAGTAAAAGAAAGAAAGAAAGAAAAATTAAAGTTATTTTTAAAAGAAAAGAGAAGCATCTGCGTCTAATTTTTCACAATCCCCCAGAGTAGGGAGTAGGAGAAGGCCCAAAAGAAAGAAGCAACAAATTCAGGAGCACTTTTCAAAGAAAGATTTAGGAGTTGAACCCTGGCCATTCCCACAGATTGGAGACTCCATGAAGATGGGCGGACCAGTTAATAGATAGGCAAATCCGAAGATTACAATTTCTTTAAAAAAAATTGCAGACCGCAAATTTTTTCCATTTCTTTTTGAGATATGAATAGACAAAATGCAGCCTCTGTCACTGTTGTGCAGGGGGAAGCTCGGGGGGTGGTACAACTGTGGACTGGGGACATGGAGCACAGGGATGAAGGTGAAGCACGCAGGTCAGCCTGCTGGCCCTTGTTCAGAGCCTGCTTTGCCACTTAACCAACAGTGCAAACTGAGGCAACTTGCCAGAACTCTCTGTACCTTGATAATAATGGTGTTCACTCCATTAAGTGAATTAATACAGCAGAATGTTGAGAGGCATGCATATAAACATTTAATTGTGTGTACAACCTCAGATAGGCAGATGATACCACTCTAATGGCAGAAAGCTAAGAGAAACTAAAGAAACTCTTGATGAGGGTGAAAGAAGAGAGTGAAAAAGCTGGCTTAAAACTCAACATTTTTATTCAGCATGGAGTATCTTAGTTCCCTGACCAGGGATCAAACCAGGGTACCCTGCAATGGAAGCGCAGAGTCCTAACCACTGGACCACCAGGGAATTCCCAATGATATGTACATTTTAAACCCTATGAGATGTTATTATTTTACACAGTTGATCTTCATTCAGATTTACGTACACAGCCTCCCCTTCCATTTCCTTCATTCTACATCTAAGATGATTGGTCCTGTGCTCTGAAGAACTCCCTTTAGTATTTCCATCTTGTGGATTCTCTGAAGACACAGTCTCGCCACTTCTGTGAAAACCTTTATCCTCTCCAAGCAGTACAGGATTCTAGGTTGACTTATTTCTTCAACCCTCTAAAAATGTCATGTGATTATCTTCTTTGTTTTCTTGTTTATTGGTGAGAGTCCAGCTGTTAACCTTATTGTTGTTTCTTTGAAGATAACACTTTTATACTCCAGCTGCTTATAAGCTTTTCTCTTTGTCTTGGATTTTCCATGGTCTGATTTTGATGTGCCCCAGGATGGCTTTCTTTGTAAACTATACTTCCTGGACTTGATATCTTTCATCAGCTTCATATAATTCTTGACAATTATCTTCTCAAATATTTCTTCCAGATGTTGTCTCCTCTCTTGAAATTCCAGTTATACGGATGTTAGATCTTTCTAACACGGAGAACATAACCCTGTCCTAACTTCTAGAGTTTAGCTCTTTAAGAACCCCTATCTGACAGCCTGGGGCTGTTTCACAGGACTGCTCCTCCTTGGCAGGCTCTGAACCCCAGGGTCTGTGCCCTTAGTCCTGGGAGGATGCCCAAAGTTTTACTTAACTTCCCAGCCTGTTGGCCTTGTAATTGGCAAGTGGCTTAAGGGGAAAAGCAGACACAAGTGTTGGGTTCACCTTGCTGTGCTTTTCATCTCTCGGATTCTTGGCTTCTTGAGTCCTTGCTGCCTCGATAGCTCTCCAGTGACCTCAAATACATGCTTTTTGCATTTTATCTACGTTTTCCAGTTGTCCTTGGCAGGAAACTTTATGTGTTACAAGCTAGTCTGCTGTAGCCAGAAACACAGGGTACTGTGTGGAAATGACAAGAGATGTCCTCTGCCCCTGGACGTGAGCAGCCGGTAGAGTCTGACATGACAATGTGGTAAAGCACAAGCAGGATGCTATTTTAAAGGGAGTCAGAGAAGACACTGATTCTGATTAGGAACATCTGGGAAGGATGCTGAAGAACAGGAAGGATTGTGACATACACTTTTTAGAGGGAAGGGTGGAAAAACTTAAGCCAGTCTAGGCTGGTATGATCAGATGGGTGACACAAGGGCTGGAGTGAGGGCAAGGAGAGAAGCACCGTTGGAATAATGAAGTCAGGAATGTTGGTGTGATCATGGCATATGGTCCCATCACTTCATGGCAAATAGATGGGGAATCAGTGGAAACAGTGGCTGACTTCATTTTTTGGGGCTCCAAAATCACTGCAGATGGTGATTGCAGCCATGAAATTAAAAGACCCTTACTCCTTGGAAGGAAAGTTATGACCAACCTAGACAGCATATTAAAAAGCAGAGACATTACTTTGCCAACAAAGGTCCATCTAGTCAAGGCTATGGTTTTTCCAGTGGTCATGTATGGATGTGAGAGTTGGACTATAAAGAAAGGTGAGTGCCGAAGAATTGATGCTTTTGAACTGTGGTGTTGGAGAAGACTCTTGAGAGTCCCTTGGACTGCAAGGAGATCCAACCAGTCCATCCTGAAGATCAGTCCTGGGTGTTCATTGGAAGGACTGATGCTGAAGCTGAAACTCCAATACTTTGGCCACCTCATGCGAAGAGTTGACTCATTGGAAAAGATCTTGATGCTGGGAAAGATTGAGGGCAGGAGGAGAAGGGGACAACAGAGGATGAGATGGTTTGATGGCATCACCGACTCAATGGACAAGAGTTTGGATAAACTCCGGGAGTTGGTGATGGACAGGAAGGCCTGGCGGGCTGCGGTTCATGGGATCGAAAAGAGTCGGACACGACTGAGCGACTGAACTGACTGACTGACTGAAAGGCATCTGTGTCCCAGGTGGAATTTGGACAGTTTTTATATATGATCATGGATTGTTGATGTTTTGGTACTTGGGGTTGATTACTTCTGGCTTTGCCTGCACGAACTGAGCAACTCTGGTGAAGTCTAATAAGAAAAGTCCTCTCTCTTTCTGGCTTACTTCACTCTGTGTAATGGGCTCCAGTTTCATCCATCTCATTAGAACTGATTCAAATGTATTCTTTTTAATGGCTGAGTAATAGTCCATTGTGTGTGTGTATGTATACACACACACACACACACACACACACACACACACATATATATATATACACCACCTCTTTTTTATCCATTCCTTTAAATAGTCTTTTTAAAAACTCACCTCAGATGAAGTCTGAGTGTGCTCTGTTTCCTGCCAGAAGCTGCGCTGATAAAAAGCATTTCAGATATCTGGGAGGGTGGAGGGCCAAGAGGTAGTACTTCTAGACCTGTCTGGCTGAAGCGCATGATGGGAGGAGAGAAGTTGGAATCTAGAATAAGCTTTCCGTCCTAAGCGAAGGAGTATGAAATCACTGGCCGTTTCCTAGACGTCTGTAACCCGAACCTCTCCCCTCTTCCAGGAAACTCCTGCCCAGCGGTCCTGAGCGCCAAGTGCCCGCCTGCGTCTGGTGCCCCAGCCGAGGACAGGGATGGAGCGGCGTGGGGGCTCCAACCTCTGCCGCTGGCTGGCCATGCTCGCCCTCCTGCCCGCGCTAAGCCTGGCGCAGTACGAGAGCTGGCGCCACTACCCCGAGTACTTCCAGGAGCCTGCCCCCGAGTACCACCGGCCTCAGGTGCCCTCCGACGTGGCCAAGATCCAGCTGCGCCTGGCGGGCCAGAAGCGGAAGCACAGCGAAGGCCGGGTGGAGGTGTACTACGACGGCCAGTGGGGCACCGTGTGCGATGATGACTTCACCATCCACGCCGCGCACGTCGTCTGCCGGGAGCTGGGCTACGTGGAGGCCAAGTCCTGGACGGCCAGTTCCTCCTACGGCAAAGGGGAAGGTAAACCGCTCTGCGCTGGGAGCTGAGTTCTGGGGTCCCCTGGAGAGAGCGGCAACAGACTTCCAGGGGGGTAGCCTGTAAACGAAGCTGCGGTTACTGTCAAGTAGGAATCCCTGATAATACTCCGTCTGGGCAGGCTGCCTGCTGGAAGGCAGGAATGCAGGGGTGTGGTGGAGGGGGACAGTGACCCCCCCCCACCCCACCCCCCCAACCCCCGCCAAGTCCTGCTTTGCCCACGGCTTTCCTGGTGGCTCAGATGATAAGGAATCTGCCTGAGAGGTGGGAGACCCAGATTCCATTCCTGGATCAGAAAGATCCCCTGGAGAAGGAAATGGCAACCCATGCCAGTATTCTCACCTGGGAAATTCCATGGACAGAGGAGCCTGGTGGGCCGCAGTCCATGGGGTGGCAAAGAGAGGGACACGACTGAGTGACTTCCACTTTTACTTTCCTGGTTTAAGGACACAGAAGTCTGGCAGCCTGGTCCTGAGCCAGCTAGGCTGGGAAGTGACCCTAGGTAGTGACCAAGGTCCTTCTGTGGTCATCTCTCAAGCCTTGTGCACTGCCTGGGGCTGCATCAGCCAGGGGGAGATGCTGCCTTCTCCTAACTGTCCCCTCAAAAGAGCCTGTTGCTCTTAGTCACGAGGGCTGCCCATAGGCTAGTGTCCCTGACTCTAGCCCTCCTGAAGGGTGGAATTCGGGCTTTTAATATTAGCGTGCTGGGCTTGGCCACGATAAGAACAGAGTTGCCTTCTGTTTTCCATCTTGTGGGTTTTTTCCTTAATATTTATTTATGTATTTGCTTGTGCTGGGTCTTGGTAGCGGCGTGCAGGATCTTTGGTGGGCTGCATTCGAACTCTTAGTTGTAGCTTGTGGGATCTAGTTCCCTGACCAGGGATTGAACTCAGCCCCCCTGCATTGAGCCAGAAGTCTTACTCAGCCACTGGACCACCAGGGAAGCGTCAAGTTTTTCACTTTGATTGGCTTCGTCTTTCTGCTCATGATAAGCTCAGTCAATACACTGAAAAAAACGGGGGGAGATAATTTTGAGGGAGGGCAGGTGATGGAGCCCAGAACCTGGGGCTCCCTCCTGTATTGACCTAACTAACTGTATGCTTTACAGGAAGATGCTTATGCTCCTTGGATAACTAGGAAGTTAGGTTCTCTAAGAACTCTTGAAACTGTCATAGTCTGGGGTCCTAAGTGGGAAAGTAGATAAGGACCAAGGGCATTATTTAAAAATAAAATCTCGGGATTTCCCTGGTGGTCCAGTGGTTAAGAATATTCCATGCAATGCAAGGGATGCAGGTTCGATCCCTGGTTGGGGAACTAAGATCCTACATGCCACTGAGCAACTAAGCCGATGCCCTATACCTACTGAGCCCACACATCACAATGAAAGATCTCACACAATGCAATGAAGATTCCGAGTGCCTCAACTAAGACCCAATGCTACCAAGTAAATAAATAAATATTAAAGATAAAATAAGATTTCCAGGGACTTCCTTGGTGGTGCAGTGGTTAGGACTTCATGCTCCAATGCAGGGGGCATGGGTTCCATTTCTGGTCAGGGAACTAATATCCTGCATGCTGCATGGTGCAGCCAAAAAATAAAATAAAATAAAACCTCCAGCTAGAGGAGCACTCCTAGCTGGAGGTTAGTAAAGCAAAAGCACCTTGTCCACTTGGCTGAGTGGCTGCCCAGGTGTTAGCGTGGCTGCTGGATTCAAGCAGAGGTCCCCAAACTCTTGCTGGGTAAATTGATTGATTTTTTTTTTTTTTTGTGACCCTGTGGACTGTGGCCCACCAGGCTCCTCTGTCCATGGAATTCTCCAGGCAAGAATACTGGAATGGCTTAACATTTTCTACTCCAGGGGATCTTCTAGACCCAGGGATCGAACCTGGGTCTCCTGCTTTGCAGGAAGACTCTTTATCTTCTGAGCCACCAGCCATGCTGATGGCATTAGAATCTTCCAGGGAGCTAACTCCCCATATTCTGGGTTAAGGTCTAGGATGGAGTCTCAGTTCAGTTGCTCAGTCGTGCCTGACTCTTTGCGACCCCATGAATTGCAGCACGCCAGGCCTCCCGGTCCATCACCAACTCCCAGAGTGTACTCAAACTCATGTCCATCGAGTCGATGATACCATCCAGCCATCTCATCCTCTGTCATCCCCTTCTCCTCCTGCCCCCAGTCGCTCCCAACATCAGGGTCTTTTCCAATGAGTCAACTCTTCGCATGAGGTGGCCAAAGTATTGGAGTGTCAGCTTCAGCATCAGTCCTTCCAATGAACACCCAGGACTGATCTCCTTTAGGATGGACTGGTTGGATCTCCTTGCAGTCCAAGGGACTCTCAAGAGTCTTCTCCAACACCACAGTTCAAAAGCATCAGTTTTTCAATGCTCAGCTTTCTTCACAGTCCAACTCTTACATCCGTACATGCCCACTGGAAAAACCATAGCCTTGACTAGACGGACCTTTGTTGGCAAAGGTCTGCTTTTTAATATGCTGTCTAGGTTGGTCATAACTTTCCTTCCAAGGAGTAAGGATGGAGTCTAGGACTCTGTAACTTTTTTTTTTTTTGACTCTGTAACTTTTGAATGTGCTTGTACACAGAGCCAGGTTTGGGAGTCCCTGAAATTGATCACTGCTCTCTCTAGTCCCTCCTAACCCTTGCTTTCACTTATTCTAGAGATTCTAGGAGAGAGGAAATGTCTTCTCACACATGTCTCACTTCTGTGTCATTAAATATGTCCTTTTGGGATCGAGAGACTGCAGTTAGTGTAAACTGTTCTCTGAAGCTGACTGCATTCCTTACTGTGATTCAAGTAAAAGCAGCAAAGATGTATTTGCACCTTTTTGTTATTGCTGTTTAGTTGCTAAATCACGTCCGACTCTTTTTTGACCCCATGGACTGTCATGCTAGGCTTTTGAAACCCATTTCCTGTCTTCTTTACAAAAACTCTGGATAACTTCTCCATCCTTTCACGTTTCTCCTTTTTTTTCTGCTTGCTGAGTGATCTAGAGGTAACATCAGATTTATGTTTTCTATTCCAGGCTCTCTAAGCCTGATTATTTTATAACAAATATTTTTCAATGACTTTGGGGGTTTTCTAGTGACATCTTTATTTTCTTTCTACCTAAACTTAAAATTTACCTGTCATCAGGTAAGGTGGACATGATTTTTCCCCCATCGCCCACTCAACTGCTCAGGAGCTGGTATGAGGTAGCTAGAGAAGTGAGTTAGCATGGCTCACACTTTGCCATCCAAGGATGATGAATGGAGAAAAGTTCACAGGAGTGGAGGGAATTTTCAAGGGAATGATTAAAATCAAGGTCCATGAAGTCCAAGTTGGTAGGTAACAAGGTACTCCAGGAAGCCATTGAAGGACTGGGGAAAGCTGGTAGGATCAGCAGATTGTGAGCTGAGATTGCAGTAGTAGAAGGAGTGTGCTAGAAAGGTGGGCTTGTGGATGCAGATACACACTAGAGCGTTGAAATGGAGACTAGGGAAGGGGTGAGATAGTTTGTGATTCAAGGTCTAAGCTATGACCATGGGATACTAGCTGATGTAGGATAAGGAGAGTCATTGGAGAGAGGAGGTGTCCAACTAAGAGGACTGAAGGGTCCTTTCTGGGGATATTGAGACCATCAAGATTTAGGAAAGAATAGGTATCAAAGAGAACAAGGGAGAAAGAGATGCTAAAAAAAATTTTTAACTGTCCTGTCTCTAGGCCTTTAAGCATTATGCTGTCTATGTAAAGTGGTAGTTGGTTTATCCCAAGAGACCCTTTGGATGTAAAATATATTTGAATCTCATCAGCATCAGTTTAGGATTTTTAACATTGGGTGCATGGTGAACATTCAGTCAATATTAATTAATCATGATTCAGTTTGATTTGGAAGTCAGCTTTGCTCACCACTATACCACCAATGCTGATTCAGTTTGATTTTGAAAAATATTAAAAACAGTTGGCAAGGGACTTCTGTGGCAGTCCCGTGGTTGGAACTTTGTGCTCCCAATGCCGGGGGCGCAGATTTGATCTCTAGTTGGAGAACTAAGATCCCATATGCTGTGCAATGTGGCCAAAACAGAAAATAGTTGGCAAGTAGTACTTGGCATAGTGACCCATGCCCTGGGATGTGCTCTGATGGCATTTAGACGGCTCTTTGGATGAATCAGAGACACTGTAGGTGAACTTCTCAAGTTTAGCAATGTAGTAATTAAACCAGGGAGAGCACCAGGGATATTCCAGGTTTCCAGCCCAGCCTGTCGGTAGATCTTTTCTCCCAAAGCATCTCTGAGCTCAGAGACCTCATGGGCCTTTAGAGAATTCTGGAGGGGACAGCTGCCCCATTTGTCACTCTCTGGATGGAATCACAGCCTCCCGAACCTCAGATGTTTGCTCTCTTTTGCGTGTCTTCAGATCTGAGGTTTGATGTAATCCCCCCTCACCGTGTCATTCTTCAGATCAGAGTGATGAAGCCAGCAGATGACTCAGTGGGGCCCCGAAGCTCCTAGCTTGAAGTGTCTCCAATTGCCTTGACAGCCATGGAAATGCTGCACTTCAAGTAGAATTATATTTATGATCTTTTCTCTCCAAATGATCTGTTAACTTGTTGGTACATCTCTTCACCTTTCATCAGGAGAAGCATCTTCTTAGGGTAAATGAGTGGGAGGAGTAAAATGAAGTTTTGTTTCTGATTATCTGGCATTTAAAAAAATTAATTATTAATTAATTAGACTGCATTGGGTCTTAGTTGCAACACACAGGATCTTCGTTGCATCATGAGGGGTCTTTTGTTGTGACACACAGACTCTCTAGTTTTGGTATGTGGGCTCAGTAGTTGTGACCCATGGGCTCCGTTGCCCTGTAGCGTGTGAGATCTTAGTTCCCCTACCAGGGATTGAACCCACATCCCCTGCATTGCAAGGCAGATTCCTAACCCCTGGAGCACCAGGGAAGTCCCTGACTGGCATTTTATGTCCAAAGTTTGGGTCCCATCTATGTCCCTATGGCACTTCCCTAGAAGCTCTCAGACTTCATGTACTGAACTGTTCCCAAACCACCGTGCACTCCAGCAGCAGACCTGGAAGTTGGTTGCTTTGGAATCAGAACAATTTAGTTGTTAGGCATTAAGCACACAGTGGGGAAAAAATGTCATGAAATTAGGCCAAATTAGTTTACCTGGCATGGTGATGTCATCTTGGGCCAAGTAGAAATGAACATTCCCACTATCAAAGAAGGTAACTGGTGGGATTGTGTAGAAGGTAGACTTACTGGGAATGAGTTGAAGCTTCTTAAGAAAGCAGCTCTTTGGGGTAATAGTTAGCATTAGTGCTCCGGGGTGCTAATTTCAAATGAAAGTGAAAGTCACTCAGTTGCGTCCGATTCTTTGCAACCCCATGGACTGTAGTCCGCCAGGCTCCTCTGTCCATGGAATTCTCCAGGCAAGAATACTGGAATGGGTTGCCATTTCCTTCTCCAGGAGATCTTCTGCTCCCAGGGATTGAACCCTGGTTCAATCCACCGCATTGCAGGCGGATTCTTTACCTTCTGAGCCAACAGGGTGCTAATTTCAAATGCTCCTTATCAAAAAATAAAACATGCCCTGGGGCATCTGTTTTGCAGCTCCTGCTGGTACTTTTAGCTAAGTGTTGTCCTGTTTCCCATCCCCTTAGCCAGGGTGGTTTCTCTCTCTGCAGATGGAATAAGGGCTCTGTTTCTTTTCTCCATCTCTGTCCATTCAGCAACTTTTCTGAAGACTGTTCCATAGAAGAGGCCCCGCTTCAAACATGGAGGGTCTTTTCTGTTGCTAGTACTTAGCAAGACAAACTTTGGTTTGTTGTTGAAACAGCAATCGATTAGGGAGCATGTGTTTCAGTGGAGCTTGATGGCTTGGAAACGAAGCCAAATTGAGAAACCAGTTGGAAAACCTCAGCCCAGATGTTTTCAATAAGCCTTTTGTTTCCCCTCAATGCATCTGAGGTTCTCTGGTTTGAGCCCTGAGCTGCCATCTGTCATAGCAGATGCATTTCATCTGGGGCCTCGAAGTCCAGAGGCTGACCCGAGGTTCCCTCTGACCTTGAAGAACCTCAGATTTTCCTTGGTTTTCTCATCTTTACAATGGGAGTGTTTTTATCTGCTTTTTTATTGCAGCATGAAAGCAGCAGAAATCCTTTTTTTCTGACTTACTGGGAGGAGGAAGGAGAAAGGGAAGGTGAACACATAATCAGTTCAGTCGCTCAGTCGTGTCCGACTCTTTGCGACCCCATGAATCGCAGCACGCCAGGCCTCCCTGTCCATCACCAACTCCCGGAGTTTACTCAAATTCATGCCCATCGAGTCGGTAATGCCATCCAGCCATCTCATCCTCTGTCGTCCCCTTCTCCTCCTGCCCCCAATCCCTCCCAGCATCAGGGTCTTTCCAATGAGTCAACTCTTCGCATGAGGTGGCCCAAGTATTGGAGTTTCAGCTTCAGCATCAGTCCTTCAGATGAACACCCAGGATTGATCTGCTTTAGGGTGGACGAACATAATAGCCACGTTCAAAATCTAATTGAATCTCCATGGCGACCTGTTTGTTAGTATCATTGTTTCCACTTGAGGAGTGGGCTTGGTGAAGTAGTTGACCTAGTCACATGCTGACCATGCCAGAGGCAGAGAGAATTTGTTTTTTGTTTTGTTTTTGTGGCTGTACCACATGGCATGTAGGGTGTTTATTTCCTGACCAGGAAGTGCACTTCCTCACTGGAAGTACAGTCTTAACCTTTGGACTACCAGGGAAGTCCTGATGCAGAGAGAATTTGAACCTAGGTTTTCTGACTCCACTCTACTGTAGAGTCCTCCTAGAGTCATGAGAAAAAGGAGAGTTTTGACTGTTTTCTTTCATTGTGTAGTGATGCTTATAAAAATCACTACTTGAAACCACTCTAGCACTTAAAATTTTTTTTAAATTTTAATGGTGGTAAAATACATATAACATAAAATGTGCCATCTTAACGATTTTTCAGGATACAGTTCAGTACTGTTAAGTACATTCACAGTGTTATGAACCCACTTTTCATCTTGCAGAATTAAAACTCTATACCCATTAAATAACCACTCTTCAACCCCCCTAACCCAGCCCGTGGTAAACACCATTCTACTCTCTGTGATTGTGACCTCTCTCAGTACCTTATGTATATGGAATCATACAGTATTTGCCTTTTCCCGACTGATTTATTTCACCTAGTATAAGGAATTCAAGGTTCATCCATGTTGTCGCAAGTGACAAAAATGTCTTTCCGTTTTAAGGCCGAGTAATATTCCAGTGGACGTGTAGACTGCAGTTTGTCAGCGGACACTTAGGTTGCTTCTACCTTTGGGCTACTGTGAAAGATGCTGTGATGTACATGGGTGTGCAAATATCTCTTTGCCATCTTGCTTTCAATTCTTTTGAATATATATATTCCCAGAAGTGGGAATTGTTAGATATATGGTAATTCTATTTTTAATTCGAGGAACCACCCGGTGTTCCTATAGGGGCTGCATTATTCTGATAGGGATAAAGTAAGGTAAACAAATAGTTTAAAAATCCTACTAAGAGCTCATAGACAGAGAGGGAAGACCCCTGTAAGTTAATGATCACTCAAGAAAGCAGATTTACTTAGCAAGAAAACCGTGCAATAGAAGCATGAGCCAGCCCTCAAGACAATAAAACAATGGCAGAAAAATGACACCTCCATCCTGCCATTGGGGTCAGTAAGTTAATGATCCCTAGGTCATGCTCCTCTGTGCACACTTAGAACAAAAAATATAGGAGAAAGAAGACATTCCGAAGTAGAAGACCCGCATTATGCTGTGACCTGACATGGCTTACCATATTTTAGCTTATGCTACTACCTTTTTGCTAATTAACATAGTACCATGACAGGTTGGGCTGGTTGGGCCACAAGACAAAAATCTCCCCCACCTGCTGTGGAGGAGGAGCTGATGATAGAAGCCTGACATCTACTCAAGAATGAGGAAGAAGGTGGTCTTCTCTCCTTGTTTTTCCTTTGACTATAAGAATGTAGCCTATCCAGCTCTTGGGGCATTGCTCCCTTGCCTGCCTGCTTGTCTCTCTCACAAGCATCTGATATTAGTTTATTGGTTTTTTTTTGAGGGGGGCAGGCACACAGTCCAGCATGCTGGATCTTAGTTCCCCACCCAGGGATCAAACCTGTGCCCCCTGCAGTGGGAGGTGGAGTCTTAACCAAAGAAGAAGTTCCAGCATCCTATATTATTAAATCCATCTCTTCCCTATCACTTTGCCTCTCACTGAATTCTTTCTGCACCACGATGTGAAGAGCCTGAGCTCCTCTGTTTCAGTGTTCACATTTCTGCCAACAGTTCACAAGGGTTCCGATTTCCCCACATCCTTGCCAACAGTTGTTATTTTCTGTTTTAGTTTTTGCTTTGTTAATAGCCATCCTAGTGGGTGTGAGCTTGTGTCTCATTGTGGTTAACTCTCTAGCGTTTTGCATTTGGAATTCCCTACTTACTATAAGTCAGGTGAGTATGCACAGGAGGTAAGCAGAGACCCACCAGGGACTCCCAGATTGCCTGGCTACAAACCAGCCCTGCCTTCGCCTGACTTCTGAAATGTGAGGAGGAGGCTCTGTGGTTAGTCTTGCTGGACTGTCTCTGAATCAGGGGATGGGAAACATCAGGAAGTGGGAAGAGCACTGAAAGCACCAGGGTTTCGGGTTCAGAGAGATGACCTCACATTATGAGTTGCCTTCTGTGAGCATAAGTAATACCATCACCATCATCATCATCATCATCATCACCATTTTAAAAAATATTCATTTTTGGCTGCTCTGGATCTTCCTTGGTGCCCATGGGCTACTCTCTCATTGTGGTTTGCCAGCTCAGTAGCTGTGGCACACCGGCTTAGTTGCCCCGTGGCCTGTGGGATCTTCCCAGACCAGGAATTGAACTGGTGTCCCTGCACTAGCAGATGGATTCTCAACCACTGGACCACCAGGGAAGTTCATCATTACCATTTTTTTTAGTTAACTCTGGACTAACAATAAACGAGGCGTGTGTCATGTATTATCTCTAATCTGCACGTGGCCCTGCCATTGAAATGTCATTATTATCCCCACTTTACCAATGAGAAAAGGAAGCTTTGACCAGGGTTATGGAGCTAAGTGGCTGAGCCAGAATTAGTATCAAACAGCTTAGGGTCCAAAGTCCCTGTTTTTTGCATTATACCACGTTACTTCGGGTTTAAATCTGATTTCTACTCCGATCACTTTCAATCTGCCACATCCCTATATCACATCCCTCTGCCAGGGGAATCCAGGAGGGTCTTGAACTGTATGAAATATTTCAACACACCGAAAACCAATTGATGACCCTACACAGCTGCCAAAATTAGGGAAAATTCCTGTTTTTGTGTACATCATTGGTGCTCAAATGAGCCAAAGACTGAGCCCAAAGACTCAGAGCTACTCTGACGTGGATCTTTGCTTCTGTCTTCTCCGCTTCCTTCAGGGCCCATCTGGTTGGACAATGTCTACTGCACCGGTGGGGAGGCCACCCTTGCAGCCTGCTCCTCCAACGGCTGGGGGGTCACCGACTGCAAACACTCAGAAGATGTGGGCGTGGTGTGCAGCGAGAAGAGGATTCCTGGGTTCAAGTTTGACAATTCACTGGTCAACAACATAGAGGCAAGTCATGTGCTTGTTTTTTTTCAATTGAAGCATAGTTGACTTACTGTGTTGTGTTAGTTTCTGCTGTATGGCGAAGTGTTTTATATACATATATAAAACACACACACACACACATATATATATTCTTTTTCATACTTTTTTCCATTATAGTTTGTCACAGGATGTTGACTGTAATTCCCTGTCTATGGAATAGAATCTTTTTAAAATTTTTATTTATTTTTTAATTAAATTAAAAGCAATTTAAGTTAAATTGCTTCACAATTTTATGTTGACTTCTGCTGCACAACAATGTGAATCAGTTACAATTAAGTACATATATTCCTTCCCGCTGAGCCTCCCTCCCCTCCCCCCACCCCACCCCTCTAGGCAATCACAGAGCACCAAGCTGGGCTCCATGTTACACAGTGTGGCCTTGTTTATCCATCCCTAGTGTAATGGTTTGCATTTGCTAATCCCAGCCTCCCATTCCATCCCTTCCCCACCCTCCCTCCACCTTGGCAGCCACAAATCTTGAGTCTGTTTCTGTTTTGGACATAGATTCGTTTTTGTGTCATATTTTACATTTCACATTTAGGTGATATCGTATGGTGTTTCTCTTTCTGATAAGTCCATGTGCTCTTGACAACTCTTTCACGTGAGTGTTTCCCTTCTTCCATTTAATGCACTTCTCACCTATGATTCTAAGAAGTGTGTGTGATCACTTGGAGGGGCAGGACCTAAACTCATCATTTGGTGCCAGGGCAGTTGAGGAAGCATTTCTGAAGACGGGGATACCATCAGAAGCAGAGAACAGCTTAGACAAAGACACAGAGGCATAGAGCTGTCTGTGAACTGGGCATAAGCAGGTCGATACCACTCAAGAGTGTAGATCCTGAATCTGGAAATAGTGTGAAATGAAGGTAGAAAGGTGGCCATGAGAAGACTGCTATGTTCGGGAGCTTGCCCTTTGGGCTAGGAAAATGTATCAGCTAGCAACTGCAGTGTAACAAATTACCTCCCTGCTCCTTACATTTTGCAGCTTCAGACAACAAACATGGATTATCTCGAATAGTTTCTAAGGGTTGGGAATCCAGGCATGATCAGCCAGTTGATTTTTCTCAGAACATCTCGTGAGTTTGCAGTCATGTTGTCAACTGGGGCTGGGGACTCCTCTCCCAAGTCGACTCCCGTGGTTGCTGGCGGGCCTTAGCTCCCTTCTGGCCATCAGCTGGAGCCCTCTGGTCTTCTCCATACAATCGCCCTATAGGCTGCTAGAACATCCTTAAGATATGGTGGTTGTCTTTCTTTAGAGTGAATGACTCAAAAGAAAAAGAGAGAGAGGGAACGAAACATGGAAGCCATGTCTTTCATAATCTCATCTCAGAAGTGATGGTCCATCATTTCTGCTGTATTTTATTGGTCATTCATACCAACAGTATGCTTTGTGGGTAGATATTACCCAAAGATATGACTCCCGAAAGTAGTGGTCATTGGGGGTCATATTGGAGGCTGGCTGTCATAGGACAGTTGTGCCCTAACTAGCGGGGGATCAGAATCCCTTTTAAAATGCACTGGAACCTCACTTCAAACCTCCTGAGTGAGGGTCTCCTACTATGAGAACAGCTTATTTTTTTAACTGTCTCAGATGATTCTGATGCTGCCAGCCCAAGTCAACATTTGGGAATGGCAAAAGGGCTTGTGACCCTTCTATATTTATGGCTAAATTTCAGATTTATCTTTTTAATAAGTGCTCCAGCCAAAGAATAGAATGAACAAACATTTAATGCTCTCCTCTATGTGGGGCTTAGGGCAGGCGGAGGAGGCAGCCAGGACTCCTTCCTCAAGAAATGTGCTGGATGTCACCCCCAAGGCACTACGGGATCTTCCATGAATCCAGGAATAGGAGCCTTTTCTGTGCTGTAGTTTCCAGCTGGCCTCAGACTAATGCAGAAGAGAGTTGATTCTTGAAATTGCCCTATTTGGGCTTCAGAGGAAGCTCTCCCCAGACTGTGGTCCTTACATTTTCCTCCCATGACTCACTCTGCCCCGCTCTTTCTCATATGCTCTGAGAACGCACTGAGAGGCTGGGAGCTGGTCCAGACCTGCTGACGGTGCGGAAAAGGGTCTCCACCTCTCTCAGCCAACAGCACTGAGACCACTTCTGGCTGACAGTCTTCAAATGCTGCTGTTTTATTTGGGATAAACAGGAGAGATGGTTACAGAGTTGATGTTGTGTATCTAGTGTTTTGGTTCCTGATGATAATCTTGCTTTATCATGAAGGCTATAATTTGGAAGATGGGCTTATCCAATCCAGTTTCATACTTTTCATCGCCACTCTTTATATAACTTCATATGAAGTAATTAGCCACCCCCTCATATGATGCATCTCATCTTTCTAATGAGATTGGAAGCTCCCAAAGGCAGGGGTTCCATCTAGTTTACCATTGTATCCAATAAAAGTAATGCTAGGTACCTAGAATTTTCTTCTCAGGAATGAAAACCAACATTACCCACTTAAGTGAAGAATTCGTCATTGTTGTTTAGTCACTGAGTTGTGTCTGACTCTTTTGCAACCCCATGGACCACCAGGCTCCTTTGTCCATGGAATTTCCCAGGCATGGATACTGGAGTGAGTTGCCATTTCCTTCTCTAGGGGATTGAAACTGTCTCCTACTTGGCAGGCAGATTCTTCACCACTGAGCCACCTGGGAAGGCAGGTAAAGAAGATCCTAGGATAAAATATCAAACTAAATAGCAATGAGAAATGCACAGAAGCAAATCATTCCTTCATAATATTGCCTTGCCTAATAGGACTATGAATTTATGTGTGACTTTTTTTTTTTTTTTTGGATCCACAGCATTTTTTTTTTTTGATAGTAATTGGATTTAGCAGTGTTATAATTCTAATGAGCAAGTTAAATCAGGGATCTCTGAATCTTGGAATCCCAATATTAATCAAATACAAATAAGTATTAGCCCATATCTATCATCAATGACTGAAATGTTTCTTTCTAATGAGTTGATCATTCCATTATGAAAGTTCTGAAGTGGCCAACAGATCATAGATAGAGACTTCTTCAGCCTTCTGCTTGAAACAATCACTTCAGCAAACTGCTGGCCTTGATTCAAGGTCAAATGTGTGACATCTTTCATGGGCTTTTGTTTGTCCTACAACCTTGGGATAATCTACTTGGATTGTCAAGCGAAGATATAGGCTTCCAGGCATGAGAAAGTCACTGCTAGCATGAATCAAAAGTGGATAGACCAAAATGCCAGTGGGTTTTGGACTGGAAAAATCAGAAAACCCATCTGCCACTAGGGGAAAAAACAGAAGTTCTGAAAAAGAACTCTGTGAAGGGCACTTCAACAGAGAAGTGTTTATGAAATTACCTCTAGGGTCCAATTCTAATGCTTAGCATTTAAAGGGGAAATAAGGGATTTCTCTGGTGGTCCAGTGGCTAAGACTCCATGTTCCCAATGCAGAAGGCCTGGGTTCAACCCTTGGTCAGGGAACTACATCCCATATACCACAACTAAGAGTTCACATGCCACAACTAAGGATCCTGCATGGTGCAACGAAGATCAAAGATAGACTCAGCCAAATAAATAAATAAATAAATATTTTTTTAATAAAGGGGAAATAAGATGGGTCACAGAGAAATTAAAACCTTCGTTGCCTGGAAAAGGCAGAGAAATGACTGGGGGGAAAATTTATTAGGGAGAACTTTCTTATTGTGGAAGGGCTGAGAGTCCATGATAGGAAAGCTTAGCACCTATCTCTATTCTGGACGTTTATTTGTTGGGGGTCTGCTGTGCACACATCACGGTCTGGGACACCACTGGGGTAAGTAAACGTGACGCTTGCTCTCAAGCCCTTATAACCCTAGAAGATAAGATCCATGCCTTGGGGAAAGTTGGAAGATCATTCCAGGGCAAGTAACCTATATCCTAAGTGAGTTTACAGTAATCCAGAGAGGGTTAGCTGGGAGGTGTCTGGTTTCAAGGGCTAGATGACTTCCACAGCCTCTAAACTTTGCATTTTCCTAGAAGGCCTCCCTCTTGCTGTCATACAAATCAGACTGGTTACCAGGGACCAGACACAGGAACTTTCCTGTCTAGCTGGGGATGCTGTGAGAATTTTCAGTTGGTGAGCAGTCCCCTGTAACCTCTTCCCTTTGGTATCTGCTTAAAGTATGTCATGAATGGGCCTAGATCTCAGGGTGTCTGACCAGAACTTCAGAGAGCTGCCAGAAGATTCTTCTATCCAGGACTTTGTGGCTAAGCTTATGCTTATGGGCAGGGTTGGCCTGATGGGTAGGGAGCCACCCAGACTACCTACAAGGGATATTTGTGGGATGTGACAAGTTTCTCCGAAATACCTCATATAATAGCTGTCAGTAGCTGAACTCATGGAATCATTCCTCTTGGCTAGAGAAATGTCCTCTGTTAGATGTGTGTGGACCAGGGAAGTTTTGTTGTTGTTGTTCAGTTGCTAAGTTGTTTCTGACTCTGTGATCCTGTGGACTACAGCATGTCAGCCCTCCCTGACCTTGACTATCTCCTGGAGCTTGCCTAAGTTCATGTCTATTGAGTTGGTGATGCTGTCTAACCATCTCATCCTCTGCTTCCTTCTTCTCCTTTTGCTTTCAATCTTTCCCAGCATCAAGGTCTTTTCCACTGAGTCGGCTCTTCATATCATGTGGCCAAAGTACTGGAGCTTCAGCTTCAGCATCAGTCCTTCTAATGAATATTCAGGACTGATTTCCTTTAGGATTGACTGGCTTGATCTCCTTGCTGACCAAGGGACTCTCAAGAGTATTCTCCAATGCCACAATTTGAAAGCATCAATTCTTTGGCACTCAGCCTTCTTCATGGTCCAACTCTCACATCCATACATGACTACTGGAAAAATCATAGCTTTGACTAGATGAACCTTTGTCAGCAAAGGGATGTCTCTGCTTTTTAATACACTGTCAAGGTTTGTCATAGCTTTTCTTCCAAGGAGCAAGTGTCTTTTAATTTAATG